CAGGACACTCTACTATGGCCTTAATCTGCTCATCCCCTGTGTACTCATCTCAGCTCTGGCCCTGCTAGTGTTCTTGCTCCCTGCAGACTCTGGGGAGAAAATCTCCCTTGGTAAGTGCCCATATCTTTGGCAAGAGTCTGAGACTGGAGGCCCTTCCTTTAGGTCAGCTCTGGAGGGTTCACTGTGGATGGTACAGGGATGTATTTTGGGGTCCCAAGGGCCTGCCTGACTTATTCTTCATGAACCTCTTAGACCAAAGCAGCTCCAGAGTATCATAGGCTCCTGATTTGTGCTCCAAACTGGATGGATGTACCCTCCTGAGAATAACACAGGATCCTGGAATCCTCTGATCCTACAAAGAGTATGGATTCACCCATGGAGGACCAGCTAGTTTGATTATGCCCGAAAGTGCCTGTGCTTTTTCTCCATGGTGGCAACAAGTCAGCCTTCATTGTGGACAGGGAAGAGTTTAGCTCGGTTTCAGCTTGCATTTGTCTATTGTATGCAGCATGATTCCTTACAGTTGCTTCCATATGAAGATAAGTAAAGTAAAACTTTGAATGGTGAAATGACTTTTTAAATATCTCAAAGAATTTCTCAGTGTCTCAGTTCATCAATCACAAACATTTCACCTTCTGAGTACAAGGTTCAGAACATTACATAACTTTTCTAAGATCACACAGCTAGTAAATGGCAGAGTCAAAACCTGAAACCAGGCCTTCTGACTGCAAGGTTTCTTTTCTCGATGTGTGGAGGTACCTCTCAATAATATTGCGGTAAAGAAACTGACAGATAATTGTTCTGTGTTGATTCCTCCAAATTTCTGATTCCAAAACTTGTCTTTGTCAGAGATTCTTTTGGGACTTTGACAGGTGATAGAGACTTTCCTCCAGAAAAACATTTAAATGCCCATATGTAAGAAACCATCTGTCCCAAAGCCTTTCCCCAGCAACTCCTTAATTCTTTGAAACTCAGGTTAGATGACCCGATTACTGGTAGAGGGAATTTAGAACTTGTTGCCTGTTTTGTCTGAGGATCTTCTGTGTGTTTGTTTTAGGGATCACAGTTTTACTGTCTCTAACTGTCTTCATGCTGCTTGTAGCAGAGATTATGCCTGCAACATCTGATTCAGTGCCATTGATAGGTAAGTCAAGAGTCAGGCTCCTTTCTAGAAGTACAGATTTAGAGAGTCCCTAGCATTTCCCAGTAGATGCAAAGAGTAGAAATGTGTCCTTCATGCCCTGAAGAGCTGTATTGCTCCCTCATCTATTGCCTCTGTTCACTTGGGCCCAAATAGTGGGAAGAGGATATTCAACTTTGTAGTTAGGATTTAAGTTACTGAAATGGCTAGGAGTGGTGGTGTGCCACTGTGGTGCTAGTACTCAGGAGGCTGAGGCAAGAGGATCACTTGAACCCAAGAGTTCAAAACCAACCAGGGCAACATAGTGAGACTCCCATCTCAAAGAAAAAAACATGCAAAATTGCCTATTATACCATAATTCTCCCACTTATTCTTGCTTTGAGGTCAAAGATTTTATCATTAGAGATTCATTATTTTGGTTGAGACCTTGTTTGCCTACAAATGTTTTGTTACAAAGGGAGAAACATACAATTTAACTCTTAGTCATTGTTTCCAGGAATAACTCAGGGTCTCCATATAATAAGTATTTGGGGGAAATATATGTTTTGTCCAAGACAGGTATGAGGCATGACCTTCTGCTCGGGGAGGAATGACAGGTGCTTTGCACCTTCCTGTATGGAAATAAATGGAACCATACAAAAGGATACCCAGTCTAGTGGTTAGAATTTGATACTCTCATTACTGCAGCTGGGGTTCTATTCCTTGTCAGGGAAGCAAATCCTCCAATTCAGTTGTGAGGCTGCAAAGCAGCATTCTGCCAGCACCTATGAGGTTTATTATGGGAGGTACCACTCCTATACAGTGATGGGAAGTCAGGTCTTTGGGTTCTAGGCTGCCTGCTTCCCACCAGGGGTGTGGGCAGTGGGCTATAGGCCTGGCCCAGACAGCCAGTCACTGACAGTAAGAGAGCGAGGTCTGCACACTCCTCCTGTGACTTTCAGTGCTCCTGGGGCCTCAGATCTCACTCTGTGTCTGTTCTCTTCACAGCCCAGTACTTTGCCAGCACCATGATCATTGTGGGCCTCTCTGTTGTGGTGACAGTGATTGTGCTGCAGTATCACCACCATGACCCTGATGGGGGCAAGATGCCTAAGTGGGTACGTTCCGCTCACTCCCATGGAGTCAGAGCCCCTCCCTAAAGCAGAGTCTTCATATGGTTTATCTGTTTTAAAAACCAGCCCCCAAATTAGCACTCCAAAACAAACGGGTCTGTTTTTCATATGACTTCACCTCTCTGACTTCAACCTCTTTTCAGAGAGTGTAGTTATGGTGAGTGCGCCTCTTAGTATCCATCCTATGACAGTGTTTTAACCTGACATCCCAGAGCATGGCTCACATAACTGGCTGCCTGTGTATTTTGCTAACAGAGTGTTTCTAAAAACTATTCTTTTGCATGGCCAAATTGGAGAATTTTGCAACAGTAGAAAGCAACTGATGACACACTTAGCAACACGGTGAGGGCTTCACAACAGAATGAGCTATACAAAAACATAGCTACCCTTCCGTATCTGCAGAAAATTGATTTCAGGATTGCCTGTAGATACCAAAAATCTTTTAGATTTTGTTTAGAGAATAATGGAAAAACAAGTCTGTACATGTTTAGTACAGATGCAGTTATTTTCTTAAATGTTGGTCAAATCCATGGATATGGAACCTGCAGATATAAAGGGCCCAAGTGTACATACAGTTAATACACATAGAAACATAATCTAATGGAAACCCTATAATGTAAAGGTAGATAGGTTACTAGTAGAGAAAGGAAAGGGGATGGGAAAAAAATGGAATAACTTGATTAGAACTGAGCCAGGGCCAGGAGTTTCCCCATGTCACCAGAACAAAACCTGAGTTTTCACCTCCCATGCTCATGTGGACCCTGCAGACCTTCTTGGTCTTCCTGTCCAGAGTGTTTAGTCTAGGATGGAAAATCTCTTCTATCCCCAAAGGAACCTGTCTTTAGAGACCCATTAGTTTGTATTTAAGCCCAGAAGAAAGTCTAGGAATCACCACCATGCTAAACGTAGCATAAAGTATGAGATGCATTTATATACTCTCCAGGAACAGAAAGTTTCTGGGCTTTCTAAGAACATTCAATGTGCAGTGGTTCATAGTTACCTACAAGTTAACTAAGGGAAGATCACTTTTTTAAAATATTGGGCTTGCAAATTTACTGTTTCCCCCTCAAGTTCCTTTTCATGTACACTCTTCTCATATACTTAGTAAAAACTCACCTGTAACTTATAGTGCCAGCAGCAGTGTCACTCAACCTAAAATGATGATGCCTCCTGCATAGGTCACATTGCTACCATATGTGAGACTTGTTTTGAGAAGTGCCCACCCCCTTTAAAAAATGGGATTCATTTGCACGTATGCAACTACATTCTCATCTGACTTTCTCATATATTTGACACACTTGGAAAAGATGCCAGGACAGATATGAGAGTAGGCTTCTAGTTTATTTTTTTGTCTGTCTGTCTGTCCTTCTTTCTGTTTGAAGCAGATGATACATTTAGATACATTTACCTGTTTCAAAAGTGTACATCATATTAACACTATACCTAAGAAAATTGAGCTCCTATTCCCACCCTTCACCCTGCTCCCACCACCAATATTGAAACATTCAAATGAATTTCTTCTTTTTTCCTTTTAGTGTTTGTTTATGAAAATATGAACACTTATTTCTTATTAGTTATTCAACTGATATGGAGATAAGGGAATGAAACACAGATGCAAAACCATTTTTAATGACCTGATAGCACTCTGCTCTTGTGAAAAATCTTAATTAAAAGCATATGCTAATTTTTCACCTCTTAGCATAAGAGCTTGTTAGAACCAATTGGCTACAAATGAAATATAAAGTGTATACATTTCATTTTTATATAGCATACTACATTTTTCTTTTCTTCCATGTGTTTTTAAAACATAAACAGCCTCCAAGGGACTCTTACAATGATCTGTTGCTCTGAAGAAGATACTGCTGAGTGCAGTGGCATTATGTGACATTTGCACAGTCAGAAACAAAACTATAACCTAACAGAAGAGGTCACGAGCACAGTTTGATAA